TCCCCTCTCATTACCAAGAGTGAAAATAAGAGTGAGATGTTTTATGTTTGTGCCCAAAGCAATGTCTCAAATACAGAATCTCAGAACCTCCTCACAGGGTCCCCACCTTTTGGACATTACCAGGCTCTTTAGAAGAGGAAAGGGCTTGGGAAAGCTTGTCATGTCCAAAGTCACAGAATGTGTGAGCGGTATGGCTGCCCCAGGTGGGGAGGACCAGAGTAGGAAGCAGCTGAGATGGTCCAGAATACCTGGAGGTCTGCCGTATTTCCTCTGTCACCTTATGTATGAAAACTGGTAACTTCCTGTAATTCATTCCCAACCTGGTAGTGTCAATACATGCTAGCAAAGCGAAATAAGTTCCTTTGGGATCCAATCAGTTTGAGAATGGTATTCCATTTTGCCAATGTTCCTGTTCAAGCAGAAAGAATACTCAGAAGATGCAGGTTATTATTCCAGTTCTGCCAGGTACTATCTAACTGAATTCCAGTAAGTTGTCAAAGGGAGATAATAAGACTTGAACCACATACTTCAAAGGGTAAATGTGAGGATGAAATCCAATAATGGGTGGGACAGCCATTTAAAAAGTCAAAAGCACTATACAAATGTAAGATAGCAATGGTAATGCTAGAGGGAAAGAGACTCCACTGAGAAAATGCTTGAAACTGAATGGATGGTTCTGTCGGATCCAGTAGTCTGCCATCCTTTCTTCATATTCCATTCATTTCATTTCACAATTACCTATTAGGTACCTACTATGTGCAAGACAGTATGTGAACACAAAGATGAAGTTGTAGATCTTGCTCTCATGAAGTTTATGGGGGAGAGAGGTGCACATTTGTGATATCTAGAAGAGAGGGGAAGTTGTACAGGAGAAAGCAGTTGGGGGGGCAGGCAGACAGGAGGGGAGAGCACAATCAGAGGCAGCCTCACAGAGTCTTGGATGTCACCTCTTCCATCAGTTAATTTAACAATGACATTCTTTTATTTATTATTATTATTTTAAAAACATTTTTATTGATTTTGGAGAGAGGAAGGGAGAGAGAAACACTGACCAGCTGCTTCCTGCATGCACCCCAACTGGGGACCGAGCCCACAGCCTGGGCATGTGCCCTGACCAGGAATCAAACCAGTGACCTCTTGGTGCACAGGACAACACTCAACCAACTGAGCCACACTGGTCAGGGGCAAAGATGGCATTTTTTAAAAAAATGTATCTTTACTGATTTTACAGAGAGGAAGGGAGAGAGAGAGACAGAAACATCAATGATGAGAGAGTCATTGATTGGCTATCTCCTGCATGCCCCCGACTGGGGATTGAGCCCACAATCCGGGCATGTGCCCTGGCCGGGAATCGAACCTCGATCTCCTGGATCCTAGGTCGATGCTCAGCTGCTGAGCCCTGCCCGGCTGGGCAACAATGGCATTTTTATAGGCTTTTCATTTCAGGAAGTAGGTTTTCCACATTTTTATCTTACAATTTTTCCTGAGCTAAGGCAAATCAGTAAATGGGAAAAAAGCCCTCATTCATACATTCAATACACATTTACTAACTGTCAGGAATAGTGCTAGGGAGACAGTGGTAGACCAAGAGACAGTCCCTCTTTTCAACAGCTCATAGACTAGTGGGTTTCCTGACAAGTAAACCAATAATTCAGTACAGACGCTAATGAGGTTCAGAGGGCACACAACCCAGCTTGGCAGGGTATGGGGGGCCATTCAGGGAAGACCCTCAGCAGAGGAGGTGAAGCCTGCCCTGTCTTTTGGAGGATGAGTAGACATGGCCCGGTGGACAGTGGAGATGGGGAATAAAGGCATTCAGGCAGAGGAAATAGCACATATAGAAAAGAAGAAGCAAGAGAGACCAGGAAAAGTTTGGACACAGGACTAAAGAGACACAGCCACATTCAGAAGGGCCTTGTAAGCCATGGGCCAAAGTTAGGCCTTTAACCTGAAGATGATGGGGAGAGTATAAGGGGTGAGAACAGGAAAAAAAAAAAAAGAGAGAGAATGGACCACAAGAAGTTCTAATATTTGGCAGACAGAGGTAGAAGAGCCCAGAAGAGTTGGGAAGAAAACAGTATCTGCATAGTCTACATCATTTTCAGAACAGACCTGGGTGACAAAGTGTCAGCTGGGATTACCTATTCTATGCTATAGTTGGAGGAAACAAGACAGAGGAAGGTTAAATGCTTGACCAGGCCACACTGTGAATGAGGGAACCAGAACCTGAACTCAGCACTCGAACTCCTAGCCAAACTTGGCTGCACTGACTCTAATTTCCTTCATACTGAGTTAAATTCCTGGACCTCTAAGTATAGGAGTATTTCCTTCAATACTCCCTTTCTTTGTCGCTTAAGGTGTGTGGTTTCAGGGAAGGCTACAATCCCTGGAAACAGCTAAACCAGATTAACGTCACCATTCTTAATTCTACTTATTTCTCCTTCCATGCCATAATCAAGACTCACACACACACACACACACACACACACACGAAGACAGAGGGGAGAGAGAGAAGCACTGGCTTGTATCGGTAATCTGAGATGTGAACATCTGTGCCTTCTTTCTAGCAAGGCACACCACTGGCCCACCTTGCAGAAAGGCGACGGGTGGATGAGGTGCAGGAAGGGGGCAGATACCCACTAAACAAACAGGGAGTGGGCGGGCTGCATGCACAGAGGAAGCAGAGAACAAAGACCTCTAGCTCTTCATGCAAAGTCCACAGTGTGCAAAGGGCATCAATATTGGACATTTCTCACTGTGACATTTTGAAAGCCCAGAACAATGGTTACCCTCTTGGGACTGTGGTCTGCGTGTCCCTAAGCCTTATTCAACGATAGCTGGCATATCCTATGTGCTTGGTGAACTTGACCTTGGGCATCAAACTCCCATGATGGCTCTACGTCACTTTGGTCGCTTCCCCCACTGAGAATTCCAGTCTCGGATGAATGGGTGGATTCATTCTGGGAGCAGAAAAATCACTCCAGGAGTGAATCAGAAGGATCTAGCCCCGGTTCCCTTGCCAGCCATTGAGCCAGGAACTGAGTGCAATTGTGTGCCCAGGCGCCGGTGCTGTTCCCCTCTCAGGGAGAGGGGGTCAGGGTCCACGCAAGAGATGACGTAGAAGCCCTCTAAGGAGGAAGAGAAAGGAATCCCAGCTTTGAGGGACAAAGCTGCCCTTTTGGTTGTGACCCTCAGTCCAAGGAGGTGCCAAGATGTGCATGTACTGGTAAATTAATTCTACTGGATAAAAATTTCAGCTTTTGCTAGACAGCTAGTTGTCAATTTCAATTTTCTCCAACCTGACAGACTTTAGAAAATAGGCTACTAGTTTTTCAGAAAAAAACTTCTGCAAGGCGGGTGGAAACAGCGTGCCTCGGATCACCCAGAGAATCCTTCCCCTTTAGCTGTCTCTGTTCTACTCTTCTCCTGATTTGTGAAGAAAAGATTGATTCACTTTTTTAAAATTGTAAACTCTGATCTAAACAATATGAAGCATCTGTACTTTCTGCTTTTTACCTTGAAAAATTAGGTGAGAAAACCAAAGTTTCAAGATGCAGATGGTAAGGGGACATCTATATCACAAGGTCAGGGGACCCACACTGACACTTTAAGAAGTAATTCCCCTAGGAAAGGGAATCGAAGGACTGCCACCTTTCCACCACTAACTAGGTAATAACAAGATGGGAAAGTTAGCTTTTTAAGGCTCCAGCCCCCTATTGGCCTCCTGGAGCAAAGGTGGTGGGAAAGGAGCAGCTCCTGCTGGGGCTTATTAGGGCATTGCTCGGGGCTTCCCTCCATTTGCTAGCCAGTATTGTCTGACATTTGTCCATCAATCTTCCCCTAAGAAGCAGGGGGAAGAGGGGACAGATGTTGCTTAAATTTTACATTAGAGAGCTGTCCTTGACACTGACTGACATAAGCTGCTTGTGGTCAGAACTTTTAGTCTCCACTGACGGCCAAATGTGACCCTTTCTGAAGGGTCTTCTACCATCTTTGTTCACCTTAACTAGTTATTATGCACATACTTGGTGTAAAGAAATAGGCTACACTCTGAGGATAGGATGGCAAATGTTCCCTATGCTAATGAAACCTGGAGTCCAAAAGGGTTGATTCATCTTGTATACCCTCTGGGGTCCACGTACTCATACAAGCACACTTAGGATCCCCTGAGGCTTAGGTTTGTGGACATACAGGTCCTTGGCCTGCAGGTAAGGTCCTTTGGGCAAACTGAGTCTTACAAAATAAATCAACCATTAAACGTTATGAAGTGTTTACTGGAGCCAAGCACCATATAGTCCTGTAGCAACCTACTTTCCAGCTATGGAGTTGTGACTCTAGTACTCTGAGTCTTCCTGGCTTCTTCTCACAGCTCGATAGTTCCCATGATGTTTAAGCTTACCTATGTCTATTTTAGACCGAAAGCAGTGAGTGGGTAATGGCCCTGGAAATGATTAAAACTAGTCCAACCCTATTGTGGGAGTGTGGGTGTGGGTGTTTCATTCTGGCCCTTTCCAAAAGAGAAGCAAGTTTTGTCTTTGAAAGACTGTCAAATGGTGCAAAGGCTCGTCATCTGAAAGCAAGTGGGTTTTGATCAGTGAATGGGGGCCCAGGCTGCCAGACTGAGGGCCACAGCTCTGGTGGAAGCGGTGGACAGGTGCCCACAGGGGAGAAAGAAGACACTTCACCTCAACAGATACTTAAAAGAAAAGGGAACAAGGAAGCCCCTCACTTCTAGCAGCTGGGAGACGACGGGACTGGCTCCTTGGAACATTAAGAGTCACGAAACGAGAGTCAGACGCGGGATCTCCGGCCCCACCTCCCGGTAAGTCCTGCGGAGACGGAGGCTCCGGCAGAGCACCGGGGGAAGGCCACTCGAACGACGCTCGAACTGGGCGGAGGGTCCGTGGGGGCAGCGCGGGCGAGGGGACTCAGAGGGACGCAGGGCAAGGCTCCCCGTGGGCCTGGGGCTCCAGCGGCCCTGCCGCCGGGGCCTCACTCACCAGCTCATGGTCCCGAACCTGGCCCTGCAGCCCGGGTCCGCCGCCGCCACTCGGTCCTCTGGGATCACTTCCGGATTCAGCCAGTCTCCAGGAAGTGACGTGACCCCGCCCCTTCTGCCCGGAAGAGGCGGCTGGGAGGGCGGGGCCCGGGGCATTAACGCTTCCGGCGCCGCGGGCTTCCCCGAGAGGTGGCTCTGGCGCGCGACCCTCGCGTGTTGTCTTGGGGGCTCCGCCGGACTCGACTGTGGCGGGGGCACGGGGATCCCTGGGCGCGTGTTCTGCCTTCAACACTGACTTGTAAATTCTCTTCCGCTGACTACACGCGTAGCTTAACCGGGTTATTGCCTTAATTTTTCTGTCTGTAAAGAGGTTTCTAATCCAAGGACAATCGCTTGGATTGTTTAGGGGGGAAGGAGCCAATGCGGAGGGAATCGGAGGGAGACTTAAATTCACTGTACGGTCTTTTGTCTCCTTTAAGTTTTGTTCCCCATACGTGCTGCTACCTGTTACAAGCCAACAAGTGGATCTTTTCCCGCCTTCAAGATGTCACGGGGCTGGTTCTGAATATAAACAGAATAGGTACTTTTCAGGTGGGAATGTTCCGTGGATTTACTCAACACAAGAGGACAAAGTAAGGGTTGATCCCTGTCTTCTAGCCCTTCCCTCTGGGCACCCCTCCATAGGACCGGAATGATGTGACCGGTCTCATTCTTTCTGCTCATTCATTTAACAGTTATTCATTGAGATCCTACAATGTGCCAGGCACTGTGCCAACCTCAAGGATACATTCATGAAAAAGAAGTATGGATCCTGCCCTTATGCCCTCCTAGACCTACTTACTTGGAGGGAGAAATAAACAGGCAACTAAGTCATAATAGGTGATGGGAAAGAACGCAGCTCTGGCAGCCCGAGCTGCCCTTGGGGTTTTAGTAAAGGCTGCCAGGCGGAGCCAACGTGTAAGCCAGTTCCTGAAAGCGAGTCATGCTGGCCAGGAATCTGAGGTGAGGGCTGCGGAGGGTCCAGGCAGAAGGAACTTATCTAGGCTGTGAAGAGGACTGAGTTCCAGGTAAGCAGCTCACTTGCCTTGGGTCTCCCAAAGTCAGAATTCAGGGCCTTAGTCTCTCATAAGCTGCCTGGGGTTCTGGGGCCTCCTCACCCCCAAGGACATCCTTGCCTTAGAAGTGAGAGGAGCAGGCAGTGGGGCCCGTGTGGGTAACTGCTGGGCCTCCAGAGGCCTTCTCTCTGGGAATTCTCCTCCTTCAAATGGACTCCAGTGTTTTGATCAAACCCCACTTGCTTGGAAAGTAACTAAGCCAATGAATTAGAGCAGAGGACATGTATAATATGTTGTGACCTCCCAGGCCAGGGTAGAGGGCTTGGCCAAGAGGAGTAGGGGAGCTCAGAGGATTGTCCACAGGAGGTAGTATCTTATTTGTGTTTTCTGCTTCCTGTCTTGAGGGTTTGACTCAGTAGAGGTTTTCCATTAGAGGGTCGGCCTCCAAGCATATCACACAGATCAGCTTCATCACCATGTTACTCCTCAGGAAACAGGCTAAAACAAGCAATAGAGCAGGGTAAAGAAGGCAGGGAGAAGTCACCAAAGGGCAGCCAGGGCAGAGAGTATAGGCAAAAGGAGGGACAGTCCTTGCTGCTTTGCACAGGGTGTGATGAATGGGGATTGAGGGTGCTGGGTTTTGTTTTGGTTTTTTTTTGGGAGCAACAGGGTTGGACCCTCCAAACATGGGGAAATGGTTTCAGCATTTCCTCTCCCTGTACTACCAATGACCAGGACATGGGCAGCCCATGATCACTTTGGAATGCAGGTGTGCTGTTTTTGTGAGCCTCCTGGCACTTTAGCACCTGCGGAGGACTATCCCATCTGCTTCTTCCTTTCTCCATACTCTGTCTCCCTATTTATTGCCCCGTAGTGCTAAAGCATTTCCAAAACTGTTAGGCTAGGCAGCCCCCATATCCCAGGGAAAGTCTATTTCAGGGTTGGGGAGGGGTAGCGGACTTCCCCCAGAGCAAAAATGATGAGTTCTAGACTAAGAATCCAGAGGGGTCCTGGGCTATAGTTCCATCTTTGGTACTATGACTGACCTAAGACAAGTCACATCCCTCTCTGGGCCTTCCTTGGTCCTCTCATCTAGAAGATGAGGGGATGGATGACACCAGTGAAGTTGGAACATTTTGATGTTCCAGGTTAATGCTCTTGTTGACTTCAGAGGCCCTTGGGAAATAAGAGAATGGGGGAATATGTGAGGTGGGGCCTGAACAGAGAGCTAAGCCCAGAGAGCAAGTCTGAGTGATGTCTAGAGATGACGCCAAGCATAACCTTCTGGGAAGGAAGGATTCATCCTGAGGCCCAGCTGGGGCTGTGCTTCTTACCTCTAACCCTGAATCTTTAATGTAGCTAGCAGAAACTTTGGAAGAATGCTGGACTCCCAGGAGTCTGTCTGAAAAGTGCCTGCTTTGAGCTGAGCTCCATCTCCTTATCTGAGGCTCATTTGTTCAGCTTGATGTGTGCTGGGCTGGGATGGATGGTCAGGTATCCTGCTGTCCTGTGGACCAACAGTTTCCCTCTGTGAGCACGACGTGCCATGTAGCATTGATGCTGGGGAGGTGAACTCAAGGAAGCACAAGCACCTCCCACTTTCGTGGAAAACTCAGCTGCAGGGTCTGTAGACCCAGGCTTGGGAGCTATGTCTTTGTCTTTTTGGAACCAGAGGACAGCACCATACAGGTTGATCCTGCCCCTTCAGGGGAGGGATGGGAAGGGAACAAATGTGGTTTCTAAGTGGGAGCTGAGAGTGAAAGGGCTTTGGGTAGAGGTGGATGCTCCTGTTTTCAGGCCCGGTGAATACTGCTTTCTCCCCAGAAGTCTGAGCCTGCAGTTAAAGAGTGTTCAGGTAGCAAAGATCTACTTCAGGGGACAAAGTGGTTGACCGGAGGGAAAGCAGCTGAAGAACCAACTCTGCCACCAGACAGACCCCTGACCTCTACTTGGAGCTTTTCAGAGATTTGTAAGCAGGTGCCCCCACTGTCCTCATCTCTGGTCTTGTCTTATGTGCCCTCCTGCAGCCTTCCCCACACAGAGGCTGACCCTTTGATTCTTTCACCATGCTAACCCCTAATCAGCTAAGAGCAAAGATTCCAGGAATGGACCTGGGCCATTAGGAACTTCATTAGAGCATGAGGGCTGAGACCAAAGGGACTGAATGTGAAGGGACCAAATCAATGGGTGAGCTCCCTTGCAGCCCTAACGGTCTCTGCCTCAGGGAGGCTCCTGTAGCATAAATGAACACCCAGACCCTCAGGTTTCTATGTGGTTTTACTCCCCATTTCTCTCTGCTCTGCACTTGCTCAGCAGATGTCTCAGAACAACAGCATCTTGGGCAGCCATGGGCCAAGGACATGAGAGAGAAGCAAGGGTGGGAGAAGCAAGAATTAGACTTTCCAGTGGTGGGAAGTCCACATTGATGGCTCTAAGGCCAGGGTAAAGTGACAAATCAGAAGCTGGGTCAAAGCAGCAGTGAGGGCCAGGAATCGCTGTCTGGACTCCGGCTTTGCCTTCAAGTAGCTTGAGGGAGTCTCTTCCCTCCTTGGGGCCTCATTTTCCTTGACTGTAATGTAGAGTCTGGGCTAGATCCCATGTGCCAATTTGGATCGCTTGTTACTGGCTGCCTGGAGTGCTGTGTTGAGGATCCTGAGGAATCTGCCGTTGGTGGGGAAGTACTGTGATTGATTAGCAATGTCTGCCTTGGATGAGTAAAGGGGCTGTGATAGTACACATTCTAGTTCAGCATTTTGTTATTTTTATTACGAGTTAATAATTGAGCACTTACGATGTGCCAGGCACTATTCTAAGCAGTTCACATTTAATATTTGCAACAACTCCATGAGGTAGGTACTGTTATTATTATCAGTGTGGAGGAGTTGAAGCACAGCCAATAAATGGTGGAATGGAGAATCCAACCTGGCCAACCTGGCCCTCACCCTCATGGTTTTTGCCACCATGGCATACCACCTCTTGTTGATGATTCCTGAGGTGCCCGACAATCTATGGTTCTGCCAGGGCCAGGTGAGGTCAGAAGCCAGCAGACAGATGGATGGAGCCAGGGGAAGTGCAGCACTGAGTGGCTGGGTTGGGGGTGGAGGGAAGGCCAGCGCATGACTAGGCACCTAGCAAGGAATCTGAAGCTCGGCCTCATCCTGGGAACTTTTATATGCTTCCTCCAATTTGGAGATGTCAGGACCAGCAGGTGGCAGCACCTGGCAGGGTGAGAGGAAAGGGCAGATCCCGACTTGGCATGAAGTCCTTCAGGGATGAGGTAGCCCAGGTGTGGAGCAAAGCAAGAACAAATGAGGGTGTGGGAAAAGGCCATCCAAGGGTCCAAGGAGGAGGAGGGCCTGAGCTCAGACCCACAGGGAGCCGCGGTGGCCAATGCTTTAGTTCCACAGTCAGCGTGAACCTCTCAGCTTGCATTTCATGGTGCCTGCTGTGGGCTTTTTTTTCCTCCACTCTGGGAGAATGACTAACTTTAAGGACTAAAAAAAAAAGTGTTTTGATTACACTGCCTTTTTACCAACTGGGAGCATTAGTCACCGTGGATTGCTGCAGATAACGGGGAAGGCAAGCAGCATCCCCCTCCTCCCCCTCCTTCTCCCTGATTAGCTCACAGAAGCCAGGGAAGAGCCGCCTGTGAGAGAGAGTGCACCCAGGAGGGAAAACAATTCCCTCTGGACGACATGTGTCCCAGGCATCCATCCAGCGCTGCTTGGTCAAGGCTGGGCAGCCCCCTGACAGCTTGGCTCCCAGTAGAAGGCACCCATTGGAAAGAGAATTGGCAGGAGGAGCACTGCGCCCACCGCTCCTGGGCTCTGAGTTGGCTCTAGGTAGCCTGTTTCCTGAGGTGGGTCCAGGGCACACCTGGGAAAGGGGAAGTCAGAGGAAGTCACTGAAGATGCAGCTCCTGAGGTGGGGCATTGGTGGCTGAAAGGGGTGAGGGAGAGAGTGCGTGGAGGCCACGATGGCTGTGATGTGGAGCTGGTGCCTAGGCCATGGCAGGGGTGGGGGGATGGGGGTGGCTAAGAA